CCCCAAAACCCCAAAACCCCAAAACCCCAAAACCCCTTTTTACTTGAAATAATTGAAATTTTAAAAATGAGACTCAAAAAGATGCTAATTTTCTTCCTAATGTTATTCCTAACCTCACTATGCAGTCTTGATAAGGGTTCAAAGACCAATATGGGTATTTCCAAAGAGTTCATAAATTTAGAGTCAAAAGGAGCCTCTTCCTTGAGCTCAATTGAAATATTAAAAATTCCTTATGGAGAAATTATTTCCACTGAACTGCGTAGAGACAGCCTATATCTGTACTTCAATAGTCTCACAATCTAGCGTCAAGGTTGATGTCACAGGCATTAACACAGGTGAACATGAAGTCTTAGTAAGAGTGGACGAAGGCCAAGTTGCTGATTACTCCACCATTTGGGCGTCAGAGCTTGACCATGAGGTACATTCATCTTAGTTTGTATGTTAAAGATGATGCGTAATCATTAGATAGACCCTGAAAAGCCCGAACAAGGCTATTCAAGCAGTATATGAAGGAATGCGAGCTAAAGGAGGTGAAATGGTATTTGAGATAAACACTCAAAGAAAAATAACACTCAGAGGAAATACCACAATCGAGCTGATTAAAGAAGAAGATAAAGACTTCATTGAATTTTACTTAGCAATAAGGCAACAGACTAAAGCTCGTGAGAAAAGGTTTGAGCAGACCAAAGTCCGGACCAGCTTATATGTTTTCCCAGATATGGGTATAAAATTATTTGGCTTGCTAAAGCTTAAGTTAGAATTAGCAATCCCTCGACAAAACGTGGTTATATCTCTATCTCTAATATGCCTATTCTACATAGTTTTCTTCACTGCAATTTGAGGTAAGTTATCCCTAATCTGTCAGGATGCTTCAAGGAATACAGACAAATAATGACGGCGAAAATCCCTGAAAATGTTCTTGAACTAGACACAGAATTCGAGAAGGAGAAAATCAGCTAAATTTAACTCTAAAAGATCCAATGATTGTTGATCTTATAGGGGTTTTGGGGTTTTGGGGTTTTGGGG